GTGTGTGTGTGTGTGTGTGTGTGTGTGTGTGTGTGTGTGTGTGTGTGTGTGCGAGACAATATTATGTTTTCGTTGCCTTTCTATTCCACCCTTTTCTCCTGCAACTCAGACGAACAGACTTAAACCACCATAACCACAAACACCTACCAAACTCCTTGGCCACAATAAGCTGCAGTTTGGTGCCACGCGACTGAGAGCCAGAGCCCCCAATATCGGAACTGGGCAAAACGTAGGAGCTCGTGGCCACGTAGGGGCTGCTCATGAGTACGTCCAGCGCCTGTTGGCGAGACTTCAGAGACTGTGGCTCCGTACCACAAGCGGAGGCTCCGTCTGTGTCCTCTTCCCATGAGGAGGTTGGCAAGCAAATGTCACCAACAGCTCCCCATTGGATGGTTCGGGCTGGAACGTAGAGAAGAAGTTGTGTAAAAATTATCTGCATTCTGGAATTCTAGGCCGGCATTCTTTACCTGGGCTAATGTTAATTGGAGTAAAAAAAGAAAGAAGCAAGAAGGACGAATATAAAGATGGTACAATACAGCAAGGTTCCACAGTGTGCATCTAAATGTACATGTCGCACTGTTGCTGGAGGCATCGAAGAAGCAGGAATACTTTGCTTTTAGATATCTTCATGTTTTGCAAGAAGGCGCGAATGAACATGCGAGATGAAGAATGGAAAGGAAGATTACAGCTTTTTAAGCGGGCACAATAGTAATGTTTTGATGTTCTTTCAAGAAGCTTATGGATATGAAAGGCAGTGTAAATGGTTAATCAATCTACAGTTTTTAAATAACTTGTAAGACTGTTTCAGAATTTCTTTATCGAGGGCTAATCAGTACAACACGGTGGTCATTTCTTTTACCTGGCAGTCCGTCGATTGCACGCTTCTTGCACACTCTATCAATGTACGCATTGGCGAAGGCGAAGTTCGTTTGACCCGCCTGTCCTCGTGAGCCTACGACAGAGGTGAAGGCCACGAAAAGGTGAACTGTTGACCTCAGAGTCTGGTCTCTGGTTACCGAATCCAGGTAGGTGATTGGCTGAACGGTGCGGCGGAAGATCTCTTTGAAGGCGTCCTCTGACTGATCCACCAGGTCACCCGCTCTGTACATCTGGAGAAAGTAAGGTTTAGGTTTCAGCTTAACTCAATAACGACACAAATTCTTGTCATTCTAGTGCTTGAGAAGCTTAACTTCGTTATCCCATCAGCATTTCAATTTCTGCTTTATTTTTCTGAAACTTAAAAAAGGCAGACAACAAGATGTATAGCATGAAACGTTCAATTTTGTTTCTGTTTTTTTATATGCAAGTGGTAACATATTTTACGGGGTAAAAGTGTGAATTTATAAGTCCCAATTCTCTTAAAACTAAGCATCATGATGTTAGAACCCTGGTATGTTAAGGAAAAGAATACCTTTTTTCGAGTCGTAAAACATTTACAATATATATTTCCATCTTCCAGCAGCAAAGTCAATTTAAGTAACCACTCAGAACTCGCTTGATGTACCGCGCACATTCCGGGTTTTCACTCTCCGTATGGCCATTTTTGGGTCACCATAACGTTATTCGCGAAAGACGCCTTTACCTTTTATTCATGACAGGAACAAAAAAGGGGAGGGGTCTCGAAATTTACACGCACTGTTCTTGCAGGGTTTTTTCTCTTACATATTTTGTTTTATTAAGAAATTAATGGCGCACTTATTAGGTCACTATATACGAGTATAAGTACCGAAGATTAGAGGTGTTACTAGAGAATAACAAACACACTCACAAAGAAATAATGAGGAGAGATAAAGACGATAGGTGCTTGCAAGGAAAGAAGAAGCAATTAATCCCATCAGAGCACCCGCCAAACACCCACTCTCTTACCCTGTTGACAAGGAAGACCCCGCCCACTGGCGCCAGAGTCTGTGCCAAGGCCATGATCCCTCGCGCCCCATCAATGTTGTCACAAGGGTCAAGGGCAGAGGTCACCTTCACGCCCTCGCTCTGCCATAGCTTGATGCGTCTCTGGAGGTAACCTGACTGAAGGACTTCTTTGTTGCTGAAAGAATGATAATAATGATAATAATAAAATAATATTGATAATAATTATACTACTACTACTACTACTACTACTACTACTACTACTACTACTACTACTACTACTTCTGGAGAAGGAGCGTTTTTTAATCTTTCTAGACCCGCCATCTGGAATACCATCCCAGATAAAAGCAGGCAAGCGGCAACTTCGATCCAATTCAACACGACTTTCAACAGCTAATTTGTCATCTGCACCATCTGTGCTAAGATTTCATTACTGCCATCTGCATATAAATGAATGTTATAACGTTTTTATAGCTGCATCATCTGGAGCGACTACCGATCTATTTCGAAATGTGATTTCGTTCATTTTGTAACCATAGAACATTAATTTTAATTTCGCTTTTAAACAACGAATAGCTATTCTTTTTCACATTTTGAGTTGCCAACCATAACCATGCTTTTTATGTTCAACAATGTATTTATATTTGGCTGTAAAGCGCATACGGTATTCTCTAGAGCGTGAGTATGCGATATAATTATAGATGCAGTTATCATTATTAAGCGCATAGAGCTTGCTGTCGAGTGGGAATTTGTGTTATACAAATACTATCTGTTTAATTATTGTTATTACTGATTTCCATTTTGATGTCCATAGGCATATGTAGAAGCGTTTCCAATTAAGCTACTCTTGTCTAGCAGCCTAATGCGGGGACACCTTAAGAAATAGCCTGTCGAAGTCCAAACTCTTGCTTCCCCCTCCCTCCCTTCCCCTCTCTTTCTCTCTTTCTCTCCCCCCTCTCTCTCTCGATCTATTTTTCTCTCTCTCTCTAACGCACTGATGCACTCAAGCACATACATACTCACACACTAACACACACATATGACATGAACATACAGTCTAGTAAAGTTCTATATTGCTATGAACAATTTCAAATAAACAAAATCGCTGAAGCTATTCACCTGCCAGTGAGGACGAGCTTTGTACATCCCCTGGTCACAAGCCACTGGGCGAGGTCAAGGCCGAAGCCACCGATACCTCCAACAATGACGTAACTCTTGTCAGGGTCACATGTCACCTGGGGTGCTGCGTTCAAGGACACGGCCTTGGGAACACTTGTGCTGTTCTTTTCTTCCTCCCGGAACTGCAGACGTCAATAAACAGAGATGATTACAGTGGGAAGTGTCTATGAGAAAAAGAAGCCGTTCTAAACAAGTGATAGTCTTACACAGTGTCATTATAATGTAAAGAAAGTGCAAAAGGGGGGGAATGGAAAGTGGCCGTTTGATGAGGAGTTTGTCTTACACCATGGTCCATTAGGGCAGGTTCGACAGTACTATTTTGTCTTATTTGTGTTATTCATTAACACCACCATCCCTCTCATCTCTGCCCAAAGAGTCTAAATTTACCGCAAGGTGACCCCCCCCCCTTGTAAAAAACAAACCTAAAAAACCCACCCAAAAACCCCCCAAAAATCCGAAACAAACCCCGGCAATCCCCCGCCCCCCCAAAAAACAACAACAACAAAACAACAAACCAAACAAACAAAAACAAACAAACAAAACCCCCCCGCCCAATAGCCATTGTGGAAAAATGTCATCAGGAGCAAGAGTCTGGCAATCACGGTGGTGTATCGTCTCTGTTTTTAATTTTTTCTTCGATTTCTTCTTTATAATCTCCAAGAGAATTGCTTCTTCCTGAAACGATGCAAAACTTTGTCTCGTGGGCAGCTTATTTCTTTAAAAAACATTGGAACCAGCCACGGCGTGGTCCCGAGTACGGGTCTGTCGATTTGTTGTTTCCTGAATACAAGTAACATGTTTTTAAAAAAGTCTTTGTACACACATCTCCTGGGGTGGCGGGGTGGGTGCGCTTTGTTTGCTCGGGTGGTATCATGCAGGACTATGGAGCGGATTGCTCTGGTTCAAATCCACGACTGAATGCCCTTGAACTTGGGCAGTTTTCTCGAGTTGTCAAAGCTATCAACAAATAGATTGTTGTTCTAAGACCTATTTTGATACTCTATTTTAGCGTTCATTCTTTTCGTATATTTCCGGATTTAGAGCAGTTTTGTTAATTATCCGTAAATTGTTGTTCTCGCGTTTGGACTATTTCTACGTTTGTTTTTGTGATATAGCACGGACAACGCTTTTGATGTTGCAACGGCAGTTTAAGGAACTGTTCCCTGGGACAGACTTTTGAGTTTTAGCTACTCACTTTGATGACAATTTTCCCGTTCTGAGATCCTTCTGCCGCCATCTTGAAAGCTTCCGCCACTTCCAAGGGGTCAAAAGTCACCGTCTGTAAATATTAATAGCGATGTGAATGTCGTAGGGTGATCTAGAACAATGAAATGTGAAACATTGCCGCTTGATGCTTACACAAAGGTCACTGATAAAACTGGATAGGTAGATAGATAGATAGATAGATAGATAGATAGATAGATGGTTAGATAAAAAAAATAGAAAGATAGAATAGATAGATAGGTAGACAAAACGTAAGGACGACTGACAGATAGGTTGGTAAGCAAATAGGCGGCTTAGTATGTACGTGCTAAGACAATCGCTACTTTTAAATACAAAGTTCTATAATATGACATTTTTGGCCGTTTTGAGTCACTATAAGACCATTAGGTCAGAAATTGGAGTCGTTATCGGGACAATGCATTGGAAAAGCTTGATATGCTGTGAAACTCAACATTTTTAAAGTAAAAAATTTCAAAACTAGGTACTGAGCAGGTAGAACTTTGTAATTCTAGGGTAGCTAAATATTTATACTATGGGAAGGATCGAAAGATAAAATAGAAAACTTGAGAATGTGGACACATCGGAGTCTGTATTGTGATGGATAGGTTTTTCACAGTTGCACACAGGAGACGGGAGTTTCATTCTTGTGTGAGGAGGTTTTTAAAATTGAACATCTCCGTTTGTCAGTTAAAATTCTGAACTCCATTCTGCAAGGGGTAGCCTTGACAGACAGGGCTCGAAGCATCCGCCTTCCTTAGTCATTTAATAGCTTTGCCACGCAGTAGAATCAGGCTCTCGTCAATTTTTAGGCATGTGAAGTTTTTGATATAATCTTGAAGCGCGTTCATTTGTCTTGCTTTCAATGAAAAAATACCCATCTGCCAAAAATAGAAGTAAAGATATACGCCATTGAAGGGGGTGGGAGTCGTTTAGTGACAGTAGAAAATTTTGCGAGAAAATGTCTGGCTCAAATTAGTCACTTTCAAAGCCTGAGTGTCCTTGGAATTACACATTACATTTATTTTGAGCCTTTGATCAACATTTTTCAGTAAAATCCTCATAGAAAAGTTGTTTTTTAATGGACGTAAAAGGTGTTGACTCCCCACTCCCCCACCCCCCAAAAAAAATCCTCATAGAAAAGTTGTTTTTTAATGGACGTAAAAGGTGTTGACTCCCCACTCCCCCACCCCCCCAAAAAAAAATTAAAAAAAAAAATTACATGGATACAAATTTCCCAACGGACAAAAAAATGCCGGTTTCTTCGATTTCATTATTTTGAATAAATGTAAATGCTTTCAGCACGATCTCAGACAACAAACTGAGTCGAAGGAGGTATAATACGTGTGCAGTCTACGATATACAACACAAAACCCTCACATTGATGGGTGTCACGTAGCCCTCCCTGAGAGCATCTTCCAGCAGTCGCTGCACCGTGACCTTGTCCTTGCTGAACTCTGGGTCCAGCATCATCTGGAGGAAGTCCAGGCCCATGATGCTCTTGCTTGCCAGGTGGCTGACCACACCTGAGAACACAGACCATTGTTATGGTTGTTGTTATAGTTGCTGTTGTTGCTGCTGTTGTTGCTGTTTTTGTAGTTGTCTTTTATTGCTATTTTTGTGGATGTTGTTGTTGTTTTTGTTGTTATTGTTGTTGTTGTTGTTGTTGTTATTATTATTATTGTTGTTGTTTTATAGTAGCTGAAGTTCAGCAGAATACTGAACATGATGAAAGTCTTTACTAGAGAAGAACACTTGTTATAGTCTGCCAGGACACCAGGCAGGGAGGTAATATTCCGGGAAGGCCAAGAAAATAATTCGGACTCCTCGTGGACTCTAACCTTAATTTTCCACTCGACCCCCAAATCACCATTGTTCAAAGTAGTGAAAGCGAACACAAGCAAACACAAATTAAAGAAACCAATAGAGTGCTGTTTCATATACGATTTTTCCTGTTGAATGCTCTGGCAACAGCAGAAGCATGCGGAGCATGTCAATGGCTCAATTTCTCCGATGTTGAATTAAACCTTCCATCTTTCTTGTGGGATAATGTTTAAATGTTATTGCGGTGTTTGACAAAAAACAGACTTTACTTCATAAATTTAAAAAAAAAAAAAATCATAGAAAAAATCAGCCTCGTGCGGGGACAACTACCAATATTCTATTTATTTGTTTAAATTTGGATGCTGTGCAGCTTTGTGCACACTTATTTAAATGTTGTTTTTATAACATGACTTACTCATACTTGTTAGAGTACTTAGTATTACTTCCGTGAAAGGAAAAGCGCACAGACTCAAAAGACAAGTTTTTTTTTGGACACAATCAAAAAGCAGTACCCTTTATCTTAATCGTCAATATAGTGAATTTTTTAGCCAAATAATTATGTTAATTTTTCTGAGATTCCTGTAACAAGTAAAGCTTGTAACCTATACTTACTGGAAGACGGTGTGACATCTGGAGTAAGGCTGGCAGCCAGGTCGAGGAAAGTGCCGCCCCTGCGTAGAATTCTCAGACTGGCCAAACGTCCGTCTCCTGGCAAGGCGCTGAGCACCACATCAACTCCTGGGAACAACAACACACCTCAATATAATGTCATGACAAAACATAAAAGCATAACCACGTGATCAGACGTCAAACAGCCCAAATCTTCAGTCCTCTGATCTGTCTTTCAAAACTAATGCTTGCTAGCATTGGCGATTTAGTTTATATACGTGGGTGGTGGGGATCACCTGAGCTGTGATAGGTATTATTTAATTCAAAACCCCACTTGGAAATAGGTGTAGGAGGGGCGGTACGAAACTTTTACTGTTAGCCTCTTATAGGTGGAATAAGAGGGCGCTAGCTATAATTATAAAAGTTGTTAAGCACGGTTCTAAACCATACGCGCTCTTTTCCAGTGGAAAAACCGTTTTACAATAGATCTAATCAAACGAAAATAGAAGCAACGGTGTAGACATGAATCAGAGTACCCACTCGAGCCAGGTCTCATACAGACAAGAAGGGGAATAATAGAGATAAAAGAAGCCATAGAAATAGGGTGGGGGTAGTAAATAAAGGGGGAGTGGAAAGGATACACATGTGTGTATGTGTGTGTGTGTGTGTGTGTGTGTGTGTGTGTGTGTGTGTGTGTGTGTCACGCGTGTGTGTGTGTGTGTGTGTGTTTGCACGTGTATGTGTGTGTATGTGTGTATGTGTGTTTGTATGTGTGTTTGTGCGTGTGCGTATGTGCGTGTGTGGGCGTGTCA